CGTCTTTTAGCATTTGTTTTCGTTTCTTGTTTAAAATTTATTTTGAAAAAGCAACCGCTCATGCCTTTATCGTGTTCATGCTGAGAGTAAGTTAACAGCGTTTTCATTTATTATTTTTCGTTTGTTATTTGCAGTTTGGGGGGGGGGGGGGAATTAAGTGCTAATAAAAGTACGATACTTCCCATTTTTAAAATGTTATCCAATTTCGCGCCATATTGGGACGTGTTATAACGGGGTTCCAACGTCTTTTAGCATTTGTTTTCGTTTCTAGATTAAAATATATTCTGAAACAGACTGTTTAATGATACGTTCTATTTAGAGCTGTGCTGTGAGTTAGGCAATATCATCTTATTAAGATACAATTACATGTATATAGGCTAGGTGATGAAAATCACATTCTTAAGAATAATTTACCATTCCCTAAGATTATTTTTTCACAAAACTATTTCCCTTTTCCCATGATCGAATTCGGTTGGCCTCTAATATATAGGCCTAAATACGGGAATTTTTACTAGACTTTTTAAATTTAAAAAAAAGGGGGGGGGGCACCCTCAAAATTAGAATAGCCTAATGCCCCCCGTAAGTTATTTCCGACCCTGATCCCTTCCATCCTTCCCACATTCCATCCTACCCACCTTCTCCCATTCCAACCTTCCACCATTCCAACCTTCCCACCTTTCCCACCTTCCACTTGCCCTCCTTCCACCCGTCCCACCTTCTTCCTTTCCCACCTTCCATCTTGACCACCTTCCACCTTGACCACCTTCCACCATTCCCACCTTCAACCTTTCCCACCTTCCACCATTCCCACCTTCCACCTTGACCAAGTTCCACCATTCCAACCTTCCACCTTGCCCACCTTTCACCTTTCCCACCTTTCACCTTGCCCTCCTTCCCTCTTGCCCACCTTCCACCTTTCCCACCTTCCACCATTCCCACCTTCCACCATTTCCACCTCCCACCTTTCCCACCTTCCATCTTGCCTACTGTACACTTTCCCACCTTCCACCTTTCCCACCTTCCACCTTTCCCACCTTTCCCACCTTCCATCTTGCCTACCGTCCACCTTTCCCACCTTCAATCTTGCCCACCTTCATCTTCCCCACCTTTCATCTTTCCCACTTCCATCTTCCCCACCTTCAACCTTGCCCACCTCTTCCCTCCTCCTTTCCCACCTTCCATCTTTCCCACCTTCCACCTTACCCACCTTCCATCCTGCCCACCTTCCATCTTTCCCACCTTCCATCTTTCCCACCTTCCATCTTTCCCACCTTCCACCTTACCCACCTTCCATCCTGCCCACCTTCCATCTTTCCCACCTTCCATCTTTCCCACCTTCCATCTTTCCCCACCTTCCACCTTACCCACCTTCCATCCTGCCCACCTTCCATCTTTCCCACCTTCCATCTTTCCCACCTTCCATCCTGCCCACCTTCCATCTTTCCCACCTTCCATCTTTCCCACCTTCCACCTTACCCACCTTCCATCCACTTCCATCCTTCCCACCTTCCATCCTTCCCACCTTCCATCCTGCCCACCTTCCATCCTGCCCACCTTCCATCTTTCCCACCTTCCATCTTTCCCACCTTCCATCCTTCCCACCTTCCATCCTGCCCACCTTCCATCTTTCCCACCTTCCACCTTGCCCACCTTACCCACCTTCCATCCTGCCCACGTTCCATCCTGCCCACCTTCCATCTTTCCCACCTGCCATCTTGCCCAGCTTCCACCAGTTCCACCTTGCCCCCGTTCCCACCAGCTGCATCATGGTCTCAATTCTCTAAACTAAACAGTCAGGGAACATGGTTTTGACCAGACCGTAACACCTAGTCACTACATACAATGTATAGTGTATAATAATTAATGCATATTGGAAATCTATACAAATTTTTGCATTCTATTTATCAATGTGGACCCACATGTCATTTTCTCTCCATCAATTAATATCAATATTTAACATGTATTGAATTTTATTTGTACCTGTTTATTTTCATTTTTTTTTGGTGGTCAAATCAGAGAACATGGTGGTTGCTGGTTTGTCTAACAACCGCGGCGAGCGTGAATTTTTCAACGCCCCCCCCCACCCCACACTTTTGTTTGTTTGTGAGTGTGGCTTTTTGTTTTGCCATTTTTTTTGTTTTGTGTACTCGCATTCAAAGTTGATAGTTAAAATGTTTTGCACATCACAGCTATAGACCCCTTAAATATCCAAGACTCCCTGTAGTTGCAGAGGTCGCAGGGCACACTTGATGGCTCTGACTTGGCTTATTTAGTAAACTCATTATGTAATTAACATACATTTGAAACTAAACTAAAATTCATTTTCATGCTTGTTAACAAATATTAATTTTTCTTTAACTTTGAGTTTTTAAATTTGTAACAGGCATGGGTACTTCAGCGTTCGTGGCACCAAAAGGTAATTCATCGGTATGGGAGAAGAGAAAAGAGAGAGAGAGGGGGGGGGGAGAAAAGAGAGAGAGAGAGAGAAAGAAAGACAAAAAGAGGGTTTGAGAAAGACGTGGAGAAAAAGAGGGAGAATGAAAGAGCGATAGAAAGAGAGAGTGTGCGGGACAGAGAAAGAGAATGGGAGAATGGATGATCAAGGGAGAGAGAAAGGGGCATGGTGAGAAAGAAAGAGATATAATGCGATAGAGAGAGAACGTAAAAGAGTGAGAGAGAATGGAGAGAGAAAGGGGAGAAAGAATGAGAGAGAAAGAGAGTGAGAGAGAAACATAGAGAATATGAGAAAGAGAGAATGGGAGAAAGAGTGTGTGTCAGAGTGTGTAGTAAGAGTAGAAAAGATCGAGAATGCCAGAAATAGATAGTGAGAAATAGAGAGAGAGAGGGGGGGGGGGATCTTAAATCTTGTTTGTAACGTAAGAATTTTGACTCCTAATATAATGTCTAAAATAAAGTATAAATCTTGATCTTTTTCAAGATTCGTTGTGATTAGGTTAAATGAGTTCAAAGACTCTGACGTTCATCGTTCGATTACAAATAACTTATATAAAAAGAGTAAAAAGTAGGCCTATGTCATGAATGAAATCACAATTTTGTACTGAAATAGGTCACGCAAACTTTCTTGTGTAAACTTAAGGGATTGAAGAGCCGGCACCCAGATGGATACATTTAGCTTTATCTTCGAACTGCTGCATCATGGATACTTTTGGGGCTATGTCGTCTGGTATGCAGCTTCTTGGAGATAACACCGTGTCTAGATTAAGATTATCTAACAGTGTGTGCGATGCTGCTCAATGGAAAAGGGGATTTAACGCAGGTAGGCTGCACCATAATTTAATGTTCATATAAATTAATTCACTTTAAATTTCTTTTTCCCGGCTTAGGAACCGAGCTCTCGAGCGTTGAATGTCCTGTCGGTCGTGATGTCCACACACTGTTCACTGTAGGTCCATTTACTGCAGCCTGTGCCAGTCGTGTATGAGGCTGAAAAAGTCATTGGGGTGGGGGCGGTGGGCTGGAGGGAGCAGGGTGGGGATAAGCTTGGCAAAGAGGTGGAGTTAAAAAGTTCCAAGTCCAATGATTTACAAGACATTGTGGGCTTGGGTTGGGGTGGGGGGCGGATGTGACTGCATGGGTCTTCTGCCATAACTGCCGTGACTTGAACGATTGGAGGGAGGATGTGGTGGCAAGGGGGAGATTGTTCCACTCAGAGATTCTCCTAGGGATGAATGAACGGAACAGGGCGGGGTGGAAATCTTGCTCTTAATGAATGGTTGTTCCTCTCGTTCTTTCATCCGAGGGTTTTAAGAGCTCAGCTTTGTTGATCTCAATCATGCTGTTGTTAATTAGATTTAGATGTTTGTTTTCCTGTCTCTAGGCTGGTCCATCCTAAGTATGCGTGGGACTGTGCCACTCTCTCTGTCTCTATAGTCGTTGTAGACATATATCACATCTCTGCACAGTCTCTAGGAGAGTTTTGTCCTGTTGTTCATGTGGATCCCATGCAGTTGAGGCATATTCAAGGGTGGGACGGATCATGATAGTGTAGGCTGCTGCTTTCACTTTTGGTGTAGCCTACGTTCCCTGAAATCCATCCGCAAGAGACAGACAGTGATGTTTTCTTTTGCAGATATGTTATAAATATGTTTGCCCCATGTGAGGTTGTTGGTGAATGTTACTCCCAGATAATTGCTATTTTGGGTTGTATACCTGTTTATTCCCCAGTTGGTAGTACAAATAATTTCTTTCAGGTGTCATTTCAGTTTGTGTCCATGGAGATAATAAATGGACGGTAGTGGTTCCTCCTACTTTCTAGATTGGATGTTCATGACTTCACATTTGCTCAGATTGAATTTTTACCCTAAATTTTTATCAATTTAAGTAACTATGAACTGTTGCATTGACTTTTTTTTTAGTTTTAAAGTTACACTCTAGAGAAAAAACTAAGTCTAAAGCTAGACACAATAGCCAAAAATGTGCACAAAGAAATGATTGTTTGAATAAAAATGTATTTTGTTAATTATTGGAATAACACTGTAGACTGTAGTTTAACAATTGCATCACTTTAACTTTAATGGTTTTTTATCTTTTGACTACTTAAAGTTAAGGTAGGGAAGAAATCTATTTTTCGTTCTCAGAGAATTATTGTGAGTTTTGATTAGTTGGAATCCAAAAGATTCAACTTATGAAGATAATCTGCTATACTGGTATCTATAGTTTTTTTTAGGTCTTGTACTGGCTACTATATCTAATAATTATTATAATTATGATTATGTATTGTAGTAGTAGTCTGTGGCATAAGAAGGGTGTGGTTGGGGGGGTAGGGCGGTTGGCGGTCCGGTCTCTTAACCAACTAAACTATACAAAAACATTTTTGAAGTATAAATAATGAATGAATAATTAAATTCATATTCACAGTATTCATTAATTTTTATATATTGTTTACTGTAATACTTTTAGATATTATAACATGAAATCATATTAACTTGAACAAATAAATATTCTTTTAAAGTTTCTTTTCTTTACATACTTCTCTGCCAGGAAAACACATCTTTGAAATAGCATTTCCAGTGTCTCAACGAGGAAGTCATTCGTCTGTTGGTGTTGGCTATAAAGATGCTCCATTGAGCTATAACAGCAGAGTCTGTCTTGTTGGGAACAATGGAATCTCATGGGGGATCAGTTTGAAAAGAAAAGAGTCATGGCACAATAAAAAGGGATGGAGATACCCACAATATTTGGTAAATTGAACATGGCAGAGAAATTTAACACTAGATTGTGATTTGAATACCACCATTGAGCAGGCCCCTGGCAAAATAAAGCTGCACCTGGGGGCAAAATCTGAATTTAAGCACCCCCTCTTTCCGAAATAAATATATATTAATACACATTTTTTGCATGAAAAATGATGGTTTTGGTGTCATCTGAAGATAGTGCCTTCTAAAAATGGTACCTGGGGTGGTGACCCTTTCCAAACCAACTCGCTAAATAATTTTAGTTAGGAAATGGGGAAGAAGTATTCCCTGGGGAATAGCCAACTTAATAAAACAAAAAGTGTTTGAAAAGTTTCATCTTTATTTTTTATATTGTCCTGAGCATTGCTGTCTATATCTTTGATTATGTTTATTCCCCATCGATTCTATGATGGCTTGAAATATTATAAATCTGTTAAACATTGTAATAGGGCTGGAGTGTAAACAAAAATGATTTTTTAATTTTTATTAAAGAATATTTTTAATCGTAAAGAATCACCCACTTTTGTTCAACCTATTTATGATTATTTTTAGCAACATATGTCAACTTTATACCATTAATATTTAAAAAAAAAAACAAAGTTAAAGAAATTAAGTGAAAAATTTAGGAGAGTATTTTTAAAAATGTATGCAATTACTATTAATCAGTTTGTATTTTTGTTTTTGTGGTACCTACGATACCGGTACAGACTAGGCCTACATAACTTGTAACATTGGTAATTAGACACATTAATCTAAAGAACACATTAAAATAGCCCATGCTCACCATAACCTTTCATTCTTTATGTGGCTGCTGAAACTCTCATAAAAAATTAGAAAAGTGCTATTGTTTTTTTATTTTTTTAGGAACAGTTGCCTGACAGGTTCTACATGTACTTGGATGCTGATAATGGAATTCTTCACTTTGGCTCCGACCAGGTTTACTTCGGTGTGGCTCACTCCAACATTGACATGTGTCAACCAGTTTATCCACTTGTGGCTTCCAACAAACACGGGGCATGTGTTACAATGGTGTATAGAGGAAAAGGTATGCACACATTTTTACAATGGTGTATAGAGGATAAGGTTTGTACACATGTGTTACAATGGTGTATAGAGGACAAGGTATGCACGCATTGTTACAATGGTGTATAGAGGAAAAGGTATGAACACATTGTTACAATGGTGTATAGAAGAAAAGGTATGAACACGTGATACAGTGGTGTATAGAGGATAAGGTTTGCACACATGTGTTACATGGTGTATAGGGGAAAATGTATGCACATGCTTTGGTTGAGTATAGTTCTCAGTCCTACCCTGAATTTAGGATATTTTGTGTGATGGAATGGCCGCCTGTTTTTAGGCTCATAAGATCCTCATAATAAGGTGACAGCTGAAAATTGACTCTTGAATGTCTTTACATAGGTTCCCTCTAGGCAGAATTATGGTCACCCACCACTTTACCATTTTCTACCAAGTGCATAGGGTTGATTGTCATTCCAGAAAAAAAAAAGATGATAATTTACAGAAACTGATAAAAGATTTGTACTTGCTTTGCCGATTCTAATGAAATTCCTTCCTCATAGCCCTAGTAGTGAATGAATGAAGAAAATTCAATTCATTTTTGTTGGGTTCAGCTTATAGGTACGGGGTTTTTGGTTCAAGTTAAAACTTTCTATGTCAGTGTGGCCAGGTTTCATTTAGGCAGGGGAGGGGTATTTTTACTTGCTTTGTTATTGAGCTTACTTGGTGTTGAGATTATTTGTGTAACTGTTGCTGCGTAGTTTGTAATGGCGATGTTTTCGGTTGTGAGAGATGATGTGTTTGTTGTTATGGTTGTAGGTTTTGTGATTGGATTTTGAAGTGCCAGTCTTCGATCTTTATGTTGCCGGTCTGTAGAGCATATTTATGGTGATATAGAAAATGTATAAATCAGGCACCGGCCCCTGTGGTACCATTTCAAAACTTGTCCACCAGTCTGCCAAACTTAAAAGTAATTGGTCTGACATGGAATATTTTAAAATTTAGCAGTTGGTGCAGCTTGGCAATTTTTCAGGTGCTGTAAGAACAGGCCCATTAAAAGAATATTGGAAAAGATAAAAAGATGAAGTGGATGCTTTGGTACACAGGAACAAGTTTAAATAAACATTTACAGGTTTGTAATATAAGATAACAAATTGTACATTCTGGTCCTTAATATTTGTCATAATTTAAAAAATTATTTATTGAAATGTTTAGTATTAATTCAATTTATCATTTATTCCAGTTATTGTATTGTCATTCCTTTTTTTTTAAAAGTTATAATTATTGTGTGTGTGTTATTTAAAAGAAGATTAGATTTTAAAAGAACAATTTTAAACAATTTAAAATTAATTTCTTTCTCTGATTATTCTTATTTTGCCTTTTGATGCTCGCAAATATGATACAGATCAATAACTGCATTATTTTCTCAAATTTATTTGAATTTGTGAAACCAAGTTTATGGCCCAAGAAAAAAATAAAATCACTTTTAAATTCATCAGCATCAGTTATTTGTGTGCCTCTACTCAAGCTGAAAACAAATATTAAGATGGATCATCATTCTTATAACGTACCGCTTTTGTTAATCGTTCAAACCTAGGTCCCTGCTAATTATGTATTTTAAGTTTTATAAATTTTAACTATTTTTTTGTTAGGGGAAATTTAGTTTTTTCTAATATATATATTTCTTACAAATCTTTCTTGATAGTTGCCATTATCAAGTTTATGTATTAATTATAATATAATTAAATAAACCAAATACAATGAAGTGTTGCAATACATACAAAATTTATTGATGTTTTTTTTCTCTCTGTGAGCAAGAGGTCACAAACACAGTTTGAAAAATACATGAAATTTTTTTTATTTAATATAATATGTAAAATCCAGCTACTTAATTAAAATATTAGACATGAACGTAACAGAAGTATATCTCAGAAACAGATTAAAACATGAAGTTTAACCCAGCGTCCATAAAAATATCTAGCCTTGAAATAAGTGTTTGTGCACACAATAGCCTTTAGTGATTTATGAAGTTAGATTAGTAAAGAATGGTAAATTAATACATTTAAAGACATTACTAATCAAATCACATTCTAAATGTTTCATTTTTGTGTGAATGTTTTTAAAAGCTTTGGAAAATAATAGCTTGGTTTAACCCAAGATGATGAACAATAGACTTAGCAATTCAGCAATAGAATTAGTACAATTATCATTGTACATAAAACCTTTTTCATAACAACTTTTAACATGGACTAAAACTACCATACTAAAAGATATACAGTACCACTGAAAAATTCCTGTCTCACAAAATAGCCTACTTACTATCTTAAAATTCTGTGTAACTTTTCTTATTTTAACTTCAAGGCAGTTTTGAATAACAACTGTCATAACAAGTGATCATATTTATAAGATTTTCTTTAAGTAAAGTAAATCGATCAGGAAATCAAATATAAAAAGAAACAACCAAAGGCAATATTTGGGCAGTTGAATAAATAAAACCTTTCTGGTGCTAGGGGAAAAAAATAAAACAAAAAACAACACCAAAAAAACTTACTTTCAAATGAAACATGCTGACAAAAGTCCTCACCTTAACAAAATGCACCAGAATAATGTGACAAGGACACCAATAGTATATACATGAAGAGAAACTAAAATTGCAGTAAAACAAAGGAACAAATAATGGAGTATGAATTCTAGACTAAATACCGTACCTTAAAAAGAAAATTTAAAATGTGATTTACACAGACAGACCTTGAGCTGCAAAACATATAAGAAGTAAAACTGATAGTGAAAACAAAAGTAAAAAAACTTTTTACCTCATTTAAGTAATTTGTAATCTATTATTGTGCTTTTTCAATGTTGAGTAGGGTTAAGGAGAAGTCCTAACACAAAAATAATTGAGGGAAAGAAATACTGTTTGGAGTTACGATTTTGAAATATAACCAAAGGACAAACTTTTATATTAGCTGTTAATACTACATGTTTAAATAGGAATTCTAGCATTCTTGCTCATTTGTCTTACAGTATGGTAACACGAGGTTAAAACGAAGCCTATTTGTACAAATATTTTACAAACAGTAACATCTCATATGTCTTATATTTTTTATGCAAAAAATGTTTTTTAAAATAGCAAAATTATTTTCTTAAAAAAAATTTAGGGTGGGAAGTTACATAAAATAATTTACATAGCAGAAGTATATATAACTGATACAAGTTATTGTGATAATAAAAGTACATAAAAACACTTCCTGGGTGGAAGAAAAACACACAACACTTGAAACCGATGGTTTAAAAAAGAAACTACATTTTAAAATCCTTTTAATTTCTCTTTATAATGATTCTAAGTGATTTTATTTTATTATTCTTCAAGTATAATTCTTTTATAGTTTTTTAATTTAAAAAAAAAAAAAGTAAAATGCAACAGGTCACAAAACTGGCGTATCATCAGTGACATAACATCTTGAGGCATTTACATGGCATCACAATTTCATATAAATAACTTCAAATTGTGAAGTGTGAAATATGCATGCAGACTGATCTAGCAATTACAACGGCAATAGAGAAGAACAATAATTCCTGAAATTTACACACCAAATGAGGAAGCAAAAAAAAAAAGTGAAAAACTCTTTAATAGCTTTGGTGTTGATTTAAAGGACAGCTCAAGAATATATATTTTTTAAAAATCAACCGCTGACCAGGAAAATTGCATTAAATATTCAAAGCACTTTCAATGGATCTTGATTTTTTAAAAATCCACACAAAATTTTCAGTAAAGTGGAATCAACTTCAAAGTATTTTCTTCAATATTGACATTAAACTAAAAGTAGCCCTACAAAACTGTTAAAACAATTCAGGGCCACCAATAAAATTGCAGTGAAAAGTTGTTTTTAAAATAAAGATATTTGAAAAAACAAATATGTAATATATATATATATTTAAAAAAAAAATTAAACAGTCACTGCTATTCAGAATTTTTGCACCTATTTCAAATTTTTATCAAATCTATAAGGAAAACTCAATTGAGAAGTCATGCCCCATTAGTGCACATTAACAAAAGCAACAACAAAAAAAACAAAACTACAAGAACTGAAAAAATGCTATTGAAAGACTAACTGTATGCACAAATATAGTGACAGGCATCAAAGTTTATCATAGTTCCTTCATGGATGATATTTCAATTACAAATATTTGGTTACAAGAAATCGGCTATTTCAGAAAAATAATGCATTAAATAAAATAAAAAAAGACTATTGGAATATTAGCGTTGCCACAAAGCTAGCACATTTACTACAATGTCCGTCAGGTTACAAAATGCAGTTAAAAAAAAATGTGGGTATCCATCATTTACTTAATTTAATTGTTCATCACCTACCTCCTGTCTTCGGACTGATCAATGATAAGCTAAGAGCCCAGGATGTGTTTCAAGAGTAAAAACTTTAAGTGTATAAAAATTGCTGGGCAGAGGAAGCTTTCAAACCATAAATAGTTCTATTTACAAAACAAAAATGAATTTAATTTAATTTGTTAAATTGTAAATTAAATTTCTTCTATAAAAAAAAATAGGTCCATTATTTATATATATATATATTTTGTTAGGTCTAGAAAATCAAGTCTTTTCTTATAGCGATAACTCATTGATATGGTTCAGGGTAACACTTCCTAATAATTTTAACAGCATCAGCAACAACTCTCCCATTGAATTATTACACTGATCGTGTACACATCAAGGCAGAAAGTTTGTAGTGGAAACGCTAAATAATCATGTTTAATATTATGCTTTCTCCTTTTTTATTTCTGCAACATTTTCATCTGAACTTAATGTTAAAATAATGACACCAGCCGGTGGTGTACTAATGTGGGACAGGGGAATTAAACCATCCATAAGTGACAAAGCAAAATTACGAGAGGAAAAAAACGAACCACATAGCTTCTCCTAATTCCTCTACTACCTTTCTGACATGATGTATATAAGAGAGAAGCTACTAAAAGAATTAT